TTTGTTGCCATGATGTTTTTTATTTCTTCCTTGATCTCTCTGGTAACCGGTAATTGTTTAATAGCATGTTATTTAGTCTCCATGTGTCTTATTTCTTTGAATTGTTTTTATTGTACTTTATTTCCAGTTTTATGCCACTGTGACCTGAAAAGATGCTTAATATGATTTTTATCTTATTGGATTTGTAGAGACTTTGCCTGTGACCTTATATATGGTCTATCTTTGAAAATGGCCCATGTGCACTTGAGAAGAATGTATATTCTGTGGCTTTGGGGTGAAATGTTCTGAAGATGTCAATTAATTCCATCTGGTCTAGTGAGTCATTTAGGATTGAGGTTTCTTTGCTGATTTTTTGTTTACAGGATTTGTCCAATGGTGATAGTGGGGTATGATATGAAAGTTTCCTACCATGATTGTATTACTGTAAATCTCTCCCTTGATATCCTCCAGTAGTTTTTTTTTTTTTTTTTTTTTTTTTTTTTTTTTTTTTTTTTTTTTTTTTTTATGTGTGTGTATTTGGGTGTTCCTGTATTGGGTATATATATGTTTACCAGAGTTCTTATTTTAGATTGCTCCCTTTAGTATTATGAAGTGGACTTCTTTATCTCTTGCTGTGACCTTCATTTTGGTTCTAATTTTTCAGATAGAAGTATTGCTTCCCCAGTTTTTTTTTTTGTTGTTGTTGTTGTTTTTTTAAATTTCCATTCACCTGGAAAAACTTTTTCCATCCCTTCTCCCTCAGTCTGTGTATGTCTTTTTTTCTGAGGTGTGTTTCTTGTATACACCAGATATATGAGTTTTCTTTTCTTATCAAATCTGTTACCCTATGTCTTTTGATTAGGGTATTTATTCAATTACATTTAAAGTTATTATTGATAGGTACTTAGTTGTCGACATTTTTATTCTTTACCTCTGTGTTCCTTTTTCACTTCCTATTACTTTTTTTTTTTTTTTTACAGTAGTCTCTGAAATATTTCTTGCATTGCTAATTTGGTGGTGATAAATTCCCTAAGTCCTTTTTTTATCTGTGAAGTTCCTGATTTCACCTTCAATTTTGATTGATAGCCTTATTGGGTAGAGTATTCTTGGGTTCAGATACTTTGTTTTCATGACTCTATATATTTTATTTCATTCCTTTCTGGACTGATGAGTTTCTGTTGCAAAATCAGTTGCTAGTCAGATGGGGGTTCCTTTGTATGTAACTTTCTGTCTCTCTCTGGCAGCTTTTTAAGATTCTTTCTTTGTCATTGGTGTTTGCCAATTTAATTGTAATGTGCCTTGGCATTGGTCTTTTGGGGTTCATTTTGATTGGGACTCTGTGAGCTTCTTGGATTTGTGTGGGATTTTCCCCCCCTATATCAGGGAAATTTTCTGTCATTATTTCTTCAAACAGGTTTTCTATTTCTTGCTCAGTTTCCTTTCCTTCTGGAACCCTTATTATGCAAATGTTGTTCTGTTTTCTGTTGTCCCACAGTCCCTTAGGCTCTCCTCCTGCTTTTTAATTTTTTTTTTTTTTTGTCTAGAAGCTGCTCTACTTGGGTATTTTTACTACCTTATCTTCTAGCTCACTGATGCAGTCCTCTGCTTCTTCTAGTATACTCTTGATGCTTTCTATTTAATTCTTTACAGCAGTGATGTCATTTTTCATTTCTTCTTGGCTCTTCTTCATTTCCTCTTCATTCTTACTCATATTATTGAATTTTTGTCTTCCATTTTTTTCAGTCATCTCATGACCATTTCTCTGAATTCTATCTCTAATGGGTTGCATGCCTCTAATTCATTTACTTCCTTTTCTGGTGATGCCTGTTTTTCTTTCATATGTGGGCTGTTTCTTTGTCTCCCCATGGTCTCTCTTCTACGGATATCTGGTTATGTAGTTCCCTCTCACCTGCATTGATTCAAAGGCACAAAATATAACACAACAGGTAAAACACACAAGGCACTGAACAGAAATGTATTCATGATATTAATAACTTCCAATAAAGGCAAATTAGGTGATAGGAGAGAAAGAAGAAGAGGAAAAAGAAAGAGAAAAATAAGGAGTGTCAAAATGAAATTGGGAAAAGGAAAAAGCAAGTTAGATAAGAAAGAGACTAAGGAAGAAAAGGGGAACAACTACATATAGGGAGAAAACTCCAATAAAACAACTATTAATCCAAGCAGATGCCAGTAACAAGTACCTGGAGATTAACACAAACTACAACATGAATTAATATCAAGCAAGGTAGGGAAAACAGAAGCAAAAAAAACAAACAAAAACAAAGCAAACAAAAAAAACAAGCAAAAAAAAAGAATAAACAAAACCATCTCACAAAAAAGTATAAAAATTCAATATAATTAACATTCAAGCAAACAACAACAAAAGAACAAAGAGAAAAACAATTTTTTTTGGATACTTAAGAGAATGAAGAGAGAAGTATGTATGGACTTGGAGCAGGGTATTGGAAATTAGATATATAAGTAGGGTGAGATTTTTAACAGGGGGCAAAGAGAAAGAACAGGAAAAATCTAAAGCAGAAAAAGGGTAAGATAAACAGGACACCAAAAGGGGAAATGTTAGGAAGAGAGTGATAGCATAAAGAGAGAGTTGAGACATGGTAAAACAATGCTAAATGAAAGATGAAAATAGAATGTAGAACACTAATCCCAAAGTAAAATAAAGTGAAAATAAAAGGACACTAAAAAAAAGTAAAATAGGCCGAAACCGGTTTGGCTCAATGGATAGAGCATTGGCTTGGGGACTGAGGGGTCCTGGGTTCGATTCCGGTCAAGGGCATGTACCTTGGCTGTGGGCATATCCCCAGTAGGGGGTGTACAGGAGGCAGCTGATCGATGACTCTCATCGATGTTTCTAACTCTCTATCTCTCTCCCTTCCTCTCTGTACAAAATCAATAAAATATATTTTAAAAAAGTAAAATAGTAGTAGAAATAATGCTGATTGAAAATAAAAATGTTATAATCAAAAAGGTAAAATCAAGTGAGGAAAAAAATTGGTTTCTTAATTAAAAGAGGCAAAAAATGAAAATAAAAACATAAAAAATGAAAAAAAATTTTTAAAAAATGTGCAGTAGTGAAGGTCATTCACTTCTTCTATTGTTCTGTTTGGCACGCCTATTTCCCAGTTCGGACAGTATTGCAATTTCCTGTGCACCACTGCTTCTCAGTGTTGTAAGCAAGTCCTGATTTTTAAGCAGGTGGTATCTTAATTTCTTGTATTACTTTATTTTTTATTACACAAGAGTAAATTTTTGATTCAGCCCCTGGGTGGCAGTGTTTCTGAATTGTCTTCTGGATCTATTTGGCCTCTATAGCCACTGTTGTGATCCTTCTTTCCCTATGGCACTCAATATCGGTTTGTGGTTGTGGGCTGCCTCAGAGCTGGCTCTCCAATTGTTACTCCCTGCTCCAATCCCCCGGTTCCAGAAAAACAACTTTCCCCTGCAGTTTACCAGGGTGTCCCCAACTGGGTGATCCTATGTATTGGGCTTAGTAATCAGAAGCAAGGATTTGAAGAGTAAAATGCCCAACTGTTTGAACAATGGGCCTGCACGCAAGTCTAAGCAGCAGGTACACCTTTGAAAATCTTAGGCTGTCCCTCCACGTCAGATCAAAATGGGTTGATTTTTAGAGATTCCTTCTGTTAACATCTCTGAGGACCCCCTTCTACATACACGGATCATGCCAGCCCCAACAGCCATGAATTTTTCTAGGCACAGACTTCCTGGTCCTCCAGCTCCTGCAAAGTGTGCTTTTTTCTGTCCTGCTGGGACCAGAGACCTCACCTTATCCCAGGTGAAATCTGACCTTTCCAAGGTGGAGTGAAGAGATACTTTAAATCTGCATGTTTGTGCCAATTGGGGACCAGTGTTCTGGGGTTCACAGCTGTTCGATGCTTGCCGCAGTTGTTGATTTTCAGTCTTCCGATAAGATTTACTTTCCCTTTCAAGATGGCGCGATCTCCATGTCTGAGCCTGTAGCTCCAGGAGGGGACCCAGCAGCAGTGGAGGCAGCCCAGTCAGGGGAACCCAGTCCAACATCCTCCACCTTCTCCTGGAGTTTAGCTGTCCCTTAACTTGCCAACAAACACTCCCTGTGCAACCCTCAACTGTTCTTTCTGCTCCAGGACAAGACTCGGAACACATTTTCTCTCTCCCCTCTTCCTTACTCTTATAAGAACCCTTGTCATTATACTGAGGTCACCTTGATAATCCAGTGTAATCGCCCACATTTCAAGATCCTTAACTCAATCATATCTGCAAAGCCCTTTTTACCATGTAAAAATAACATATTCACAGATTCTAGGGATTAGGATGCAGACACCTTTAGGGCGATATTATTCAGCCTACCATAAGTACTGTAGCTCAGAGACTATTATTGGGAATAGAGAAGTCAGAAAGTTGTTTGTGGAGGTGGTACAATATTAAGGGTATGAAGATAAGGAGGAGGTCATCCTAGGTTGGAAAATGATATGAACACAAGTAGTGGGCATAGAAATCAGCATAATTTACATGTAGATTTTAAAAAAGACTTATGTGATGCAGTAAGTGTGAGAGATAAAATCAAATGGGAGGAAGAAAAGGTCATATCACAAAGCCAGGCAAAGGGATTAAAATTTGGTAGAATGGTGATCAGGAGTTACTGTTAAGTTCCCAAGAATGCACTCAAGTCACATTATAAAAGCAACATTTTCAGAATGGTTGGTCTATCCAAGTACAGATGGGAGAGGGAACTCTAAGAAAAACAAAGACTAAATGGTTATGTCTTCTCTGAAGCATCACTGGTGTCTAAGCTGCTTTCAGCATACCTGAAAAAAAAATTGGCAACCATTTCAAAAGTTAAAGAAAAAGGCAGGGCATAATCATTTTAGCCTCTGTCCACTTAGAGGAGCACAAGCTACAGACAATAACCAAGGGCTTCTCATAGTCTTTTGCAAAGGAAGACAATTTCTATGAGTTCAGGGCACTTTTAAAGAAAGAGAGAGAAAATATACCAGTCTTACCTCATTGCCACATTACTTCCATCAATGACAATTGGCCTCAAATTGTCACTGCTGTCTATGTCAATTTCAAGAGACAGTTCAGGGCTTGCAATCTCTCTGGAGTTGGGCCCCCGAGGCACTAACAGACTCAAGTTGACTTGTCCTTCCGAATCACCTTTGTTCCCAAGTCTGACAAGCTCTGCCAATACATCATTAATAAGTGATTCTGGGCCCAGCTTGTTCAGCACTGATTGAATCTGTTCCTCCGCATAGCCCAGCTTTAGAGCAAAATCCACCTTGGCTTGGTATTCTTTTTCCAAGTCAATCTTCCCATCCTGTAGAATGCTGCTCTGGGAGAAGCTTGGGCAATCTAGGCAGGGTGATCTACAGAGCTGGCGGTGTGGCTTGGAGGGAATCTCCTTTTTCTTCAACTGAACAACTCCAGGTTGACAGCTATTGTCACTGCTATTGCTGTTCTTAAGGCTCATCTGTTCAGGGTCGCTTTCAGAGCTCATCCACTCTTCAGAATCAGCATTGCCCTGTTCTGTGCTGTCTTGGTTAGGTGGCTGCTTCTCTTCTTTGGAGGCACTCTTCTTCATTTTTGGTGTTTCCACTGCAGCAGTGGCCGTCATCCCGTTTAGTAGGTCTGAGATCTAATCAACTCTTTTTATTTTTAGCCTGCTTGGAAACCATGTATAGTGGCATTTCTTTGTGGTACAGTGTGGTGGTAGTGGTGGTGCAAGAATTTGTCTGTTTGGTTTGGTATGTTCAGATGTTACCAGTCCCTGCAAATGAACACACATACCACAATCATATTTAGTAAAATTCTGAAAAAGCACTTTAGAATATAGTGATTTCTTCTTAAGAAACTACAGGTTGTCTGACATTTTATTTTTCTACTTAAAATAATTGGACTCGCCTTGGATTCTATATTTTAAAATATCGAATTTTAAATTATGTAATAATTCTAGACATATATCTTTCTGTGGTAGCAATAATGATATAATCCCCACCCTCCAAAAAATCACAGCTAAAGTTAACAGCTTATCACAACTTAGAGAAACAAACTTGGCACTTCAATGATTATGTATATATAATCGTTTAAAGGACTCTCTCTTCCTTTATACCAGGTAAGTGGTCAAGATTCCATACCAGACCCTTCTTTAAGAAAATACATCACATAATGTTTTTTTTTTTTTTTTTTGTTCCTCACCCAAGGTCATTTTTTCCATTGATTTTTAGAGAGAGTAGAAGGGAGGGGGAGAAACACACAGAGAGATACATTGATGTGCGAGATAAACATTGATTGGTTGCCTCCCGCACATGCCTTGGCTGCCAATTGCAACTGAGGTACTTTCCCTTGACTGAAATCAAACTTATGACTCTTCAATCCATGGGCTGATGCTCTAACCACTGAGAAAATCAGCTAGGGCCACCGGATCCTTCTTACTATAGTTGAGCTCCACTCTTGAAGAGTACAACTTTTCCAGCACTACTATATGCAAAATATCAGGGACAATTAAAATTGTTTTCTAGTCATTGAAGCAGGCTAGAAGGCTAACAAATAGAGAGGTGTGCTCCAGATAAGGAAAGAGGTTTGTGCACAATCATGAATTGTATCTGAAGCCTCTTTTATTTGTTGTACTGGTAATTGTTTTAATTATACTGTAAAAGAAAGAAAATCTACTCAACTTGCATGAAAAACTAGAACATTTTAAAATATATAAATTACAGAAGAGAATCAGGGACAATTTTATTTCTAAATTTCTCTCACCTACCTGATAGGTTTGAGTTCTAAACTGGCTAGAGTGTTTCTTTCAATTTGAGTCTTGCTTTGCTGATATGTAAAGTGAGGATATTGGTAGTTACCTCACAGGGTAAAGATTACATACAATGAGTAAGAAAAGAGTTTAGAAAAGTGAACAGAACATAGTTAGGTTCTTATATTATTTAAAGGGTGCAATATACACCACTAGGGGTTTAGTTTAAAAAGAGAAGACTAACCATAATGGAAGGCTATAGACCTGTGAGCACTGACAAGCTCTTCAGATAGCAGCTGTGCTTGAAGAAGGCTAACCCCTATTTTATAAAACTATTGTTTGGAATTCTGTGTTATTTTTTAAATGGTCTCTTATTCTAAAAAAAAAATAACTTTGCTTTCTAGCCTGCTTTAGCTTGCTTGAATAACGAGGAAGATAAACTTAGCTCTCTGACCTTGTAGGCCAAAGACTAGATATGCCCATACTCTCAATTCCATGCCAAATGTATTTTTTAAAATATTTTCCGGCATATAAGACGACCCCCTACTTTTACAGTTAAAACATATGTTTAGGCCTATATTCGCTATATAAGACTACCCCCCACTTCAAAGAAAAGACTTACTTTGCCATCAAGATCTGCAGGTAATTTTTGTGCAATTTTGGTCCTTTGCCCCTGATTTTCGGTTGACTTTTTTTTGTTTCAAAAGTCATCTTATGCACCGGAAAATACGGTTATTGATTTTTTACAGAGAGGAATAGAGAGTTAGAAACATCGATGAGAGAGAATCATAATCAGCTGCCTCTTGTACACCCCCTACTGGGGATGTGCCCGCAACCAAGGTACATGCCTTTGACCAGAATCAAACCTGGGACCTTTCAGGCCACAGGCCAACGCTCTATCCACTAAGCCAAACCGGTTTCGGCCCAAGTGTATTTTTAATTGGACAGAACTGTGTTGTTTTCAAGGCCAGCAGCAAGATAACCACTAAGTGCACATAGGGCTGGCTCTTTAATAAAAAGGAAAGTTTTGCTTGTAGCTTTGCTTAGAATTTTAATTCTTTTTCTCTAAGCCCACTGTGGTGAATAAACTGTACTCCAAACTCTCTGAGCATTGCTTGATTTATTCCGGTTCTCTGTAACATACTCACTAATCTAAAACTATACTATCTGTACAATCAGTGTACTAGAGTAATCCAGTTACACTTCAATCTTATTTATACAAAAAAGAAGAAAAGTTCCCAGTAATTCTAAGAATAATATGGACAACTACATGTTTATTTAGAAGAGTCACATTTGAAAACATCATATGCACACAGAATTGACATCTGATAAGTGATATTCAGACAGCATATAATAACGCCTCTAATGATTATACTGGTACTTATGACTTCAATATTTCCATTTAATGAATTAGCCAACACATAGACACCCATTTCACCTAGACTATTCCTTTTATAAGTTCCACATTAACTATCTGACTTAAATTTTTATTCTCTTCAAAATAATTTCTAGGACATTGAGATTTCTGTCCCTGAATTTATTCAAAGTTCCAAAGTCACTTAAAACAACTGTTTAGCCCCAGTGTTGCTCATTGTTTAGAGCATTGGCCTGAACACCAAAGGATCATGAGTTTGATTCCTGGTCAAGGGCATATATCTGGGATGAAAGTTCATTCCGCAGCCCCAGTAGGGGCAAGTGCGGAAGGCAACCAATTGTTCTCTCTAGAAACTCACTCTCTCTCTCTCTCTCTCTCTTGCTCTCTCTCTCTCTCTCTCTCTCTCCCCTCCTCTTCCCCCCCCCCTCTACATATCTATCTATATCTCCCTCTCTCTCTAAAAAAAAAAATCAATGGAAAAATATCATTGGGTGAGAATTAACAAAAAAAAACAGTTTATAAGACTAAATATATATTAATATTTTTGTGACAAATTAGAGGTACCTGTAAAAACATGTTTGAATTCTCTTAGCTAGTGGAGCATAGAATGTTTTTCTCCTTCTTTACTATCTGTCCAAATTCATATTGGTGTTAGCATCTTTACCATGTTCACATAGACATACAATAGCAAATTTAAACTCAGGAAAATCCCACAACATAGTAAATTGTCACTGAAATTACTAGTTAATATTGTGAAAATTTCCTACTCAATAACCTAAAATAGAAGAAAAATAAATGACTTTGCAGACATAAACATGGATTTACTATCAAAGCCTTTGGCAATATAATTTTTAAAAGTTATTTTTGTCTCTCCTAGAACCTATGTAAGTATGTAGGTGTCATGTATATTTTGTTATTGTTTTGTTTTACAAAACAAACCTCTTGAGGTAAAGATTGCAGGAATATCTTTTTATGCAAAAGAACAACATATATGCATACACAATAGATAAAAATAATTTTGTAAAGGTTAAGGGAGAGTGAGGCAGGGATGAATGAAGGTGGGAAAAGAGGGAAAGGGGGACACATGCAGTAATGTCAACATTAAAATATTTTTAAATCACTTAAATTTTTTATTTTTTATTAATCCCCACTCGAGGATATTTTTCCTTTGATTTTTAGAGAGTAGGAGTGGGTGGTGGTGGGGAAGAAAAATTGATGTGAGAGAGACACATCAATTGGTTGCCTCCCACATGCAGGGTCAAACTTGCAACACAAATATGTACCTTTGACTGGGAATTGAACCTGCAACCCTGTGGTGCTCAGGCCATTGATAACCACTGAGAGTACTAACCAGGGCAACATTTAAAAATTTTAATTAAAAAAGCCGAGACTGGTTTGGCTCAATGGATAGAGCGTCGGCTTGGGGACTGAAGGGACCCAGGTTCGATTCCGGTCAAGGGCATGTACCTTAGTTGCGGGCATATCCCCAGTAGGGGGTGTGCAAGAGGCAGCTGATTGATGACTCTCTCTCATCGATGTTTCTAACTCTCTATCTCTCTCACTTCCTCTCTGTACAAAAGTCAATAAAATATATTTTAAAAAAATTTAATTAAAAAAATTCCCTGTGGCATTTCTTGTAGTGCCCGTTTGGTGGTAATGAAATACTTTGCCTGTTGCTTATCTAGGGAAATCTTGGTCTCACCTTCAGTTCTGAATAGTGGCCTTGCTGGTTGAAGTATTTCTGGTTGTAGGTTTTTGTCTTTCATCATGTTGAATATATTGTACTACTCCAGAAAACAAATAACAACAAACAAAACAAATGAAAAACAGAACAGCCACAGAGTGCCAGACACTATGGTACGTTCTGGATATAGGAAAAGAAATGAGAACTGATCCTGTCCTCAAAGAATTTGCAAAGTTATAAAAACATTGGATACAAGTGACCCTAGAAAGTGCTGAAACACAATTTTATACATACCAATTATAGTCCAAACTGGACACTTTTGGGAATGAAAGGAGGAGTGTTAATTATTATGTCAGAACATTAGTCAAACATGAGGTCTGGTCACTCCTTCAAGTTACTTGAAAATTTCCATTGATATACAGAAGAGAAAATGGTCAGTGCTGTCATTGGGGTTGCAGATTGGAGAAATAGGGTTATAGAATGGGGTAAGAATGTCACCCCTGTGCCATAGTAGCATAACACAGCACTTATCCAAGGCTTTGAAAAGAGCCATCCAGGAAGATGCACCCTGAAGGTTGCAGCTCTGTGCAGCACTCCAATCACCCTGTGAGACTAAGCTTAGTGTGATAGGGAGTGGTGGTTGCACATATTAGAAAAAATATTCAGGAATGATATAATATTAAAGTTATTTTTTAATAAATCTTTATTGTTCAGATTTTTACAGGTGTTCCTCTCCCCCGCATAGCTCCCCTCTACCTGATTCCCCACCCCACCCCAAGTCCTTACTCCCACCACTGTCTTCATCCATACGTG